CGCTGTTGGCTGCTCTCTCCTGCCTAAAATGGCTTGTGATTGGGGTCACAATACAGAGGAAAGACAGAAAATTAAATTCTGCAACTTTCATGTTGATTTCACAGAGGCAATTCTCACCCTCTGCAGGAATCCATAATCATTGTAAAAACAGCTTACATTGCTTCTGTTGTGAAAGAGACAGTCACCAACAGTCTTGTCTGGGTGTTCTGAGTGTCAAGAGAAGTGAATGTTTCTAGAAGACATCAGTGATGAAAATCTACGTTGACTTATTGTATGGTTCACTAGATTCCTCCCTCCCCTTTTACCTAGCTAGAACTATGTTAGTGTGAAGTATTCGTTTTGCTTTAGGCATTTAGAATGTTAATTGTCTTTTATTTGGGAATTCTTTCTTCTTGTTGAAAGCAAATAAAAGTGTTATTTCATGTGCTGCTTAAGTTGCTCAAAATCTGGGCTACTGTCAGAAGCGGTGATCCTGCCCTGTTCCCAGCTAAGTATTGCCACCACCTTCTTTGTGTGTTCATGCAGTGTGCCTGCTTAGAAAGCTGTTTTGAGTGAAAACTAACTTTAAAGAAGAGAAATACCTAAAATCTCAGTTGGATCAGTGCTGAGAGGAAGGGCAGTATGATCTTCTATCAGTTTTAGCCAGTTGTAAAGCTGTATCTTGAGGCCGTAGTTACCTGAAGCGATATGACACAATCTGGAAGCTTGCTGGTGGTGAAGAGAAGATCCTGTTTCCATTTTTCTCCTGTCAGAGGCTCTGGCACTCTTTAGATCCTTCTGTGACTTGATTCAACTAGATAATGTGAAAGAAAATTACTCCTTGATTCCGCCTGGATGGTAAGCTGGGATGGTTCATGAGGAGACGTGACGTGTGCCGGAGCGGGAGTAAGGCAGGGGATCAGAACCAGGCAGGCCAGAGGAGGAGGAGCAGAGGGGAGGATGCTGTCAGTGAGCACAGCATTGTATTGCACAGCTTCACTGGGGGTGAATTATGAAAACCATATTATGGCACAGTGTAGAGGCTTACAATCTAGATCTTGATAGCTTATAGTGATTGATAGTTGTTCTACTTCAGTCTTAATGCTGGGTGCACATACCGGATGTACAGATTTATAGATAGAAAAATTGCAGGCAGTTGTCTTGCCTTGAGAAACCTTGTTGTAGGGCTTCTTGTTTGTGTACATTAAATAATACAATACAAAGATGAGTGATAAATTTTGTTTTCTCATTCTGCAGATGTTCTACTAATCTGCGTTCCATTTATTGCCATTGGTCTAAGCAGCTCTTTCAGAACTGCTGCTATGTCAAGATACAAACTGAGCCATTTGGAGATTGTGTGTGTGTGTAGATAGAACATATATACATACAATATATGTTTAAAATGTCTCTTGGGTTATTGCTCCCAATCCGGATGGCTTTCTGCCTTTGTTTCAATTACTAGATGTGATGTTAGTCATTAGTGCCACCGCACATTTTACGATTTGGCCTGTGACTCATTCTCACAGCCATCTCGTATTGGCAGAGTTATTCTCAGTCTCTCTTGACCCCTGTGATGTCAGCTACTGGTGGAAACTGGGTGCTGACTGTAAAAGACGCTACCTACTTCCTTGAGGAAGGAAATATTAAGTAAGTGCCTGAAAGCAAGAACAGCTTCCTAGCATTCTCAGATTGGCGTGATGATTGCTCTTTTTAAAATTGAAAGTGTAAATGGAATTTTAGGATATTCTGATGTCTGTATTGGAAGTCGATAATTATAAACAAGTATCTTATATAAGAGCTTTATAACTCAGCGCATGTGGTAGGTTATAGGGTATGTAGCAGCATTTTTAAGTCTCTCTGAACATTTTAAACTCTTATTCATGCACTAAAGTGGTTTCAACAATTACAAATGTGGAAAAACATCTGAAAGAGGCAGAAAATAGGAAAGATCTTATGCTGAAGTAAAGAGAAATTATGAATGAAATAACTACATAGATTGTTTTCTTTGTTACTGTACCTGTTAAATTAGATATAATGGCGATACCACTTTATTTTTCCATGACCACAGAAGATAACTGAAAATACTGTGTGTGCATTGAAGTTTGAAAAATCCTTAGTTTTACATAAGTTGAATGATTTTTATGTCTGCTATTTCAGTTACAACAAAAATGCAGATAAGATTTTAGCGGTAGAAGTAGCTGGACGGGAGAAAAGTAGTAGTATCCCATTTAAATAGTATCTTGTTAAAGATATACTGATTGGTAATGAGGAACTATGCATTTTTCTTGAGATTTTTAAGTTGTTTTGGGTTGATGCTGTGTTATTCTACTAGTGTAGTCTGTGTTGCAAACTGGGGTTAAATTTTATTTCTTTCCTTTAGCATGGTGGTTGATCTCTTAAATTGCCTAAACTTTCCACACCCATTGATAAGTGAAGGGGTAGATTTGTAAAGATCTGGTAATTCAGATAAGATATTTTCGTACCTGATTTTTTTATTGTCGCCAGGTCTGCCCCCGCACTGCTCAGTTATTTTTGTTTTGACTCAGTCTGATGCAGTGTAGTGGATTTATTTGGGGAATGAGGACCTGATGATGCTCAACTATTATTGGATAATGGTGATGATAGGAGCTCCCTAGTTGTTGCTTCCAGTGAGGAAAAATATTTTCCTTACTTATGTTTTCTGAAAGTTAGAGGGTGTTTGTTTGCTGTTAATGAAAATTCTAATGTATTTTTGTCTAGTATAAGCAAAATATTAAGTGATCCACATATTTAGTGCGGTAACAAGATGTGTTGGCAGCAGCCATGCTTGCATGGGTCCTCACAACTTTGCTAAGGCTAACAGAAAGGTTTAAAAATTACTCTGGTCTTTTTACTCAGTGTGTTTACATGGCAGTTAGAGGTGAAACCTAGGTGTGTTGTCCCATATCTACGAAAGCTTTGAACTGACAAGCTGATAGTAGCACAGCTGTGGTACCAAATAGCTGCTTTGAGTATTTATCTGGGCTCCATGTGGTTTCGGACTTGCCATCCCACGGGTGACTGGTAAGCTTTAGGAGATTTCATTTCTTACTAGTCAACCTCCTTTCTCTGCTGGAGAATGTAATGGATTTTTAAAAATGTTAGATGAGCCATTTTATATACGGTAGCTGGAGGGATAGAAACCAGTACTAAGGAATGAGGCAGAGATGGTCTGTGAATATTTTAGTGCTGATTTAATGGTGCTATTTGTTTAACAGTGATCACTGAAAGTTAGCATTGAACAGCCCTTCCTAATATGTAAAACTATTAATAGCTTGTTTGTCAATAAAAAGTTAAGCTTCTGTAGTAGTTGGTTTTTGTGCCGCTGGCATATTCTGTTATGCTTTATAGGTGCATTCAGCTTTCCCCTATGCTTGCTTGCTTGCTTATTTATTTCATGGCAAGTTGTCTGTATAAAGCAAGGGATTACAAAGAGACTTTCTGAAGTGCCACTTTTGTGTTTCTGTAAGTTAAGGATGATGATGCATATTGAAAAGCTGTGTTTGTAAATGCATATACCTTTGGAAAGTTTGCACAGCATTATCTGTAATTCTATGGCATGATCAATTTAAGAAATTTAAGCTCTGTCTCAGCTTAACCCAGGACACTTGTACCTAGGTATAACTTGATAGCACCTGTAAAAGGATTACCTTGTGATAATGGATTTTGCCTAGTGTCTTATCAAAGGGGAAAATACTGTGTGTCAAACAGACTTTTTAGCAATGTAGTCATCAGTTGTGACTGGATTTTAGAAGATGTGCTGGTTTTTTGTGTTGTGGGGTTTTTTTTGGCTTTTTTTTTTGTTTGTTTTCATTTGCCGATGAGCTTGTTTGAACCTGCTCTGGGATGTATAAACAAGAGCAGCCCAGTGTATTGGTTACATCCTGCTTTTTATACTGGTGCTGTGGAAGGGGAAACACCTTCAGTTAAGCAGCATAGGCCTGATTTTGGAGTAGGGAAGGGATCTAGAAGAGAAGGGAAGGCGTGATAAAAGTAGTGGAAAGCTGTAATAATAGTGGAGTTGCACATTCTGGCTTATTTTTTACAAATGGTGATTTCCCACATCTTGTGGTGTCCAATAAGAATTAGAAAGGTGTAGGGGTAACTTGTCTTTATTGGAAAAGTTCTTTACAATAGTCTTTTACAACACCTCCCATCCCTTTGTCAGCTGAAGAGCATTGCCTGGATGAAGGAGAAGGTAAATACTTCAGTGAATAGTGATTGAAGGGAAGATGCATCTTTAGAGAGTGATGATAAAACGGAAAGACTTGGAAGGTCAGGAAGCTAGTGATAGCGCTAAGAGTAAGTAAAAACATCTTGAAATATGAAGGACAAGTAATCAGAAAACCAGTGTAGTGAGTTGAAGTAGATCACACAAAAGGTTTTTCCCCACCCTGCAGTGGATGTAGTTTACACAGTGGTTTGAATTCCTAGGAGATGATCTTTCTATCGGGGTGAGAGTAAATTGAGATAAATGTCTTCAGAGGAAAATAGTGTTGAAGATGATTTTCCTGCTATTATAATATAGACTTTCAAGTTGAATATACCACTCTGGCCACATTGTGGACAACTAACAGGAAATTTTCAAAAACAAAATTATGAAGTTGTCTATATGTTTTCATATTAAATATTGACATGCTTTGCCCAAGAGGTTTGCTTTGATTGTACTTTATGCAGGTAAATAGTTTTAGATAAAATCTAAAATGAATTTCTAACTTTGTTTTAGCTAACCTTAATTAGTTATTTTTTTCTCTTATTACTTTGTCTTAATGGTGTAAACATCTTAACAGTGGTGCTTTGCCAGGCAAGTGCTTTTATTATACTAAATGGAATTAATGAGTAAGACTAAGTCTGTGCTTATGTGTTTGCAGTACTGGCATTTGAGACCCCAGACTTGCAAGCTGAGCTGCACAGGCAGGCTTATGTAAACTTTCCAGAGGCTTTAAAATGTGTGTCTAATTATAGAAGGTTAAGTATATGGATTTTTTTTTTTTTTTTTCCCCTAAGGCCATGTGGTTATGATATTATTGAGATTCCATAATGCCTCCTGCCATGACAGACAGCCTTGACATCTGGGCAGTGGATTCGCAGATTGGTGCTGATGGCTCAATATCTGTGGACTTCCTGTTGCCCACTGGAATCTACATCAACCTGGATGTCCCTCGAGATGCTACCATATCTCATATTAAACAGGTAATACCAAATGGTGAATTAACTGAAAAGTCACCTTGTATTGGGAAGTGTTTCTGATTTTGTCTTTTTGCAAATCAAGTAATGAATTTGAGTAGGCATACAAAATAATGTATTGAAGGTGCATGCATAGCAGATTGATTAATAAAGATGTATATGTGTCTGGGGGTTTAGAATGTTTTTAGACAGATGGTAAGGTTCGGAGAAATTACTTCTTGCTCATGGTTACACTTCAGCAGAGGTTATTCTAATAGCTCTATATTAATATTGTGTTGCCGCATCTGAACCTTTTTTTAAAACATTGGTAGCACATTGTACATTTGTTTAACATTTCTCTGTTTAGTGTGGAAACACAAGATGCTGTGTCTAATTTGATTTTAAATATAGAAGTCACAGATTATGCTCCTTCTTTTGATTGACACCAAAGATGGACGCTTTAAAAACTATGTATGCCACTTCGTAAAGGTTGTATAAAAGTGACTTGTCAGGGCACCACTTAAAAAAGTGAGGGAATACTCAAGTTGAAGGAAGAGGAGCATGTATGGAGATAACCACAGATATTAAAGAATTATCTGCTGACCTTTCATCAGATAAAGGACATCTTGGGGGCGTTTTAGACAAGTTACTTTGGAATTAGGTAGTGGGTGAATTACAACACCAAGTAATCACCTTAAGCATGATAAACTTCTACAAGAAAATAAACAAGTGGGGTTTCTCATTCTGTTGCATTGCCTGGTAAATAAGTACATTGTTTTTCATTCCTGTTCAGTCTGAGAGTATTCATTTGTTTATATAAATTATTTTCTTAATCTCAATAGTAGCATCACATAATTTATTGTTCTCCTAATTTGAAACTTTTTTTTATGCAGTGGACTACTTAGTGTTTTAGGAGAAATGAGAGTGCCACTAGAAATTGAAGTGATCTAAGAAATAAGTTTTGTGCTCTACTCAAATACTTGAAATAATTCAGACTGGAAAAATGTTGTTGTCTTAGTAAAAGGGTAACCTGGGCAACTATAGGTTAGTTGGTGGGTAACATAATGGAATAGCTGGTAGTGATTTCGACTGATGAAGAATTTAGAAAATAAGTCTCTCAGTGCAACAATAAGGGACTTTAAGCTGTCTGGTTTTCTTGATGGTTGTGAGACATTGAAGCTTAACGTGCTATAAACAGTTTCTGTTGATACTTAAGTGTTTTTCAAAGAAAAGGAATGTTGATCATGCCTACGTGATGCAGGTCTTTTGTGGAAATCATTGTATTTGAAAACAAAATAAAAATGAAGACTTTGGCATACTGGATCAGTAGATTTGCTCCCATGATGTTGCTGTGACAAGCTCTAATTTGTGGACCCTTGGATGTATAAATAGGGGACTGGAGGGCAAATATAAGGAGTTTATTTTTTACGTGAAACTGTAGAGATTAACATAAGAGAATGGAGGAAAAATAACCAATTATTTGAGGGCTGAAGAATTTTATGTTTCTACAGACTTATAGTTCTACCAGGCCAGTACTTTGAGTGATGGCAAATGGCTGCTTTCAGTGGAAGTCAGCTTCAGGGACTTCGTAGCTTTTTAAATTTTACAGTCATTAAGGGATATAAGTACCAGTAGCTGGAAATTGAAGTTAAACAACTCGGGAGGGGAAAAAAAAAAAAAGAGGTACAGGTTTTTAATCAATATAATTAGTTATTGGGGAAGAAAGAACACAGGCAGTAGTAGATGAGTCTTTTGATACCTTTGAAGTTGGAATTTTTGCTCTTCACCAAAGGTAGTTTCTGGATTCACCTCTCGCTCAGCTAGGCAAAATATACTGGAATACATTTCTGGAAGGCAGAATTCATTGTACAAATCTATGAAATAAATGCAGGTACGTTCAGCTCAGTAAAAGGAGTTCAGTTTGGCTTCAATTGTTTGAGAAGAGGTTTTTCAACAGAGGTTTTTGCCATTGCATTGTTGATCTTGCAGTTCCTGTTTCAAAATAAGTTTCAGAAAGATCTCCATATATATACACTTTTAAAATTAGGACAAAAATATTCTCACAGATAAAGATCTGAATAATATTTAGGCTGGGAGAGCTCTTTTTCTTCTAGTCTTGATTTCTGCTAAGGATTTGACCCACTGACATTACTTAAGGTGTAATCTGCTACTTAAGTATTCGGTTCAGTAAAGCGTTATGTAGTGTTCTGTGGGCAACTTGCATGTCTCAGTGGCCTGCCAGTAATTTACAAATAAATTTACTTTCAGCTTCTCCAAACAACAGGAATTTTTTATTCAGGAATTAGTTCCATAGTGGGAACTTGCTGTCTGTGTATTACAAGAATTACTGGAAAAAAAGTGTAGATATGTCTTGAGGGAGAAGGATTTTGGTAGGAAGCTATAGGAATGGATGGAGGGGAGTGACACTTTGCTGGTCAGCGTCAGGAACATCTGCCTCCAAAATCAATAGGTGCTTTGTTACTGTAGTGAGTGACAGCCATGGTCCTGCAGCTTTACTGCAAACAGGACTGTACTGGGTCCGTCCCAGGATAAGGGTTAGGACGACGCGCTGCGCTTCTCTCATCACCTCCTAGTGTTTGCCCCGTGTGTATTTTACCCCTGGGATATTTATGCACACAAGTTGCTGCTTAAAAATAACAGCAACGTAGAGACTACAAACAAGACAAAGTAAATATGTAATGATTTATAGGGATAATAATGAACCATGTTAGCAAACATGTTACTCTTGTGTTCTTTTGGGAACATAAATGGAAATTAATGTTACCTTCAGTGCTATAAGATACATCCACACTGTCTTGGTTTACTTTATGTATTTATTTTCTTTGCAGCTGTTATGGAAGCAGGCACATGCCTATCCGCTCTTTCATCTCCTCATGGAGATTGACTCTTACATGTTCTCATGCGTGAATCAGACTGCTGTACATGAAGAATTAGAGGATGAAACACGGAGACTTTGTGATGTTAGACCCTTTCTACCTGTCCTTAAACTAGTGACAAGGAATTGTGATCCAGGAGAAAAGTTGGATTCCAAAATAGGTGTCCTTATAGGCAAAGGTAATTATATTTACTTTTTTTTTTTTAAATGAAGGTAAACCTTGTTTTGTATGAGGGTCTTAGTTGGGCAGGTAACATAGACAAATTTAAAATTAAATATTTCTGGTTTTTATTTTTCCCCTGACAGAATTTCTTTCTCAGCTAATACTGATATAGTTAAAATACTTTAAGTACCCAAGACACCACATTTGGAAGTTGATGAAGGCTACTTTTTATCTTGTATTTTGTCACTGTGTTGTATTGCTACATCAATCAAGAGCACATTTTGTTTTACTAGATGGTGAAAAAAAATCTCTAATATTAATTGCTAAGTGAAGGAAAACATAATCGCAGAAAAGTGTTAACATAAATAGCCCAACAGCAAACTGGGTACACAGAAGGAATTAGAAATTATTATGGTTTTGTTATACACGGTTTCTGAGTTGGTTAACAATATGATTTTTGTTTTTGCTCTCAATTGTGGCACCGATTTTCAGCAAACAATGAACAGCTATTTTTAAAGGTTTCACAGTAACTTGTTCTTGGTGTTATTTCAGAATTTTCAGCTTTTAAATCTACTCTGCTTGGTTATACAATCAAGATTGACAGGGTTGTGTGAGGTCATACCTCTTGTATTAAACAATGAACCATTGTTAGCTCTTTCATAGAGACTGCAGGTTTTGTTTAGATTTCAGCAGTACACTGTCTGCCTATTTGTTAAAACTGACAATGGAAACAGTTAGCCAGTTTAACCATTCAGACATATTCTGACAGATTCTGAGAGATTCACATTCTTTGATTGAATATTTTGCTTATTATAGCTGTGCAAGATCCTTCCTTATGCAGCCCCTATTCTGTACCTTAACACTGAAGAAAATGTGTTCCTGTCTAAGCTTCTAAATTTAATGTTTTGTTCTCAAAAGGTGTTTAGTGCTTTGTGTAATTTGGACAATGTCCTTCAAAGTTCAGGAAAAAAGAAACAAACATTTGCAGGCTTTATACTTCCTGAATGGCTGAAGAATCACAGCTGTGTGGGCTCTCCACTGTGTATTCTCTCTTTACGTATTTTGGAAAAGAAACTTTACCAATCTCGCATTGGTTGAAATTTCAGTCCTGTCATTTTGACTTGAGTAGAAGATTTTAATCACAAGGAAAATTCAAGAATAAATTTATATATTTACAGTCCCACTGTCTTTCCTTTTTGGATTTTAAACAAAGTAAAATAGATGATGTAATCTTTCTGTGGAATTAAAAAAAAAAAAAAGTTTGCAAACTTTTCTTCCTTTCTGTGCTGCGGTTTCTTTTCATTTGCTCTTCTGAGGAGAGACTTAAAACTTTCCAAGCTATCTCAAACTCAGGGTGCAGTTGGCTTTTTCATTTCATAGTACCCAAGCGAGGCATTGGTTCTTGCTGTTTAAACCCTCATACCAGGTGGTGTGGGAATTGTGCAAGTAACTTTGGAAGTCCACTGACGTACAGGATAACGTGGAACCCAACTCACTTCTGAGCACCCATTTTTAATGGGATGTCTGAAGAAAACCACTTATGTAACCTTAACTTAAAGATAATAAGGTTTTGAATGGGATGGTAAATAGATGGGCAGTATTTGTACAGGTGTGTATCCTTTTGCTTGCTTGAATTCTCTCAGGTCTCCATGAGTTTGACGCCTTACAAGATCCTGAAGTGAATGACTTCCGAGCTAAAATGCGGAGAATCAGTGAGGAGAAGATTCAGTCGCTTGTGGGACTCTCCTGGATGGACTGGTTAAAGCACACTTACCCACCAGAACAGGAACCTGTTATCCCAGAGAGCTTCCAGGATAAGCTCTATAGTGGAAATCTTGTAGTGGCTGTTCATTTTGATAACTGCCAGGTAGGAATGGTTGTTCATCACATTTAATGTTGTATTGTTCTTAATCCTGATCTGAGTTAGCATGTGTTTGATCAAGGATGTAAATGAAATAGAATACTAACATTTTGGTGTTTGCTTTAAAATGCAAAGAAGTCAAGATCCTTTACTCTTGGAAGAAAGTGAGGTCATGAACCTACAGTTGTGAACTGAACTAAAGTCAAATGACAGTTCTATTTCTAAAGTCAAAATGTGTAAAACTTGTGTATTCTGTATTATTTCACATTCGTTTAAATGTAAAACATAATTCAAAGTTGTGAGGACATTTTTTGGCCAGCTGTTTCTGTGTTGCTTCACTAGTGTTCAATTTTAGGCTCAGGAGATGCTGGTGAATTGGGAGGCACCATACTCCACACATGTCTTTTTGTGTGTGATTCATTCTTGAGCATCTTTGGGATTGATCTGCTAGTTAGGTTGAGCAGTACATTTTAAAAAAAGAGGAATTGGTATTCCCTGTGTTGGATATGCGTATAGACAGATAAAACACTAGCAGAGACTTGAGAGTTTTTGTTTCTGCTAAGAAATCCATGGCGTATTTTTAAAATAAAAACCTCTTTAGTTTCCACCTAAAATTACTTAGCTTCTTTTTTTGATGTTGAAGTTTCTGTGATTCTGCTTGAGTCCAGCGTTCATATTCATTTTTGTACTGTGTTCTTTTTGATAACAGTGAGGGATCAGAATGGGAAACTTTAAAACTTCCGAAGTGTGTAAATATATTGAGCTATATTTGGTGTCCGTTTTGACCTAGGGGCCTAGATACTGATTTTCTAATAGGTCAGCTGATTTGATTTACAAAGCTATATTATTTCTGATACTGTCTTCGTCTTCTGTAACTTAAAAAATAAAAAATCCAAAGTGGTAAAATCATATCTGACTCTGGAAACACTAAATGCACAGGTGAATACTAAGTTTGGTCACCAGTAACACTAGCTGATGTTGGATGCATAGGTGTGTTTATGACAAAACCTGTTTCCAGTCCTCTTTGGCTTAGTAGAGGACTTGCAGTTGTCCAGGAGTATCTGTGTGTTTGTCAGCTTTTGATTATGATATTGTATACATATGCGTAAGATAATGGTACAAAAGCAGGGCAAAAGTTCATGCTGCTGCTGAATATATTTGTCTGTCACTGTAATAGCTTAGGCTGCTGACATTTCAGATGTTTCAAATGCTTCTGCTGCTGGTTCAGACCTTCAAAGCTGTTAACAGTTCAAATCTGAGCTGCTTTTTAGAGAAGTAAACTCTGATCCAGACTTTACTACTTGCAGTGAGTACTAAAAATCATCTCAGGAGGTTTAAATAGGAAAGTATGGGGACTGTTGTGTTCTGTCAATAGGAACGCTGCAAGATTGCAAGAAAGGAATATTAACATACTTTTTGTCTTGAATGGGTGGGTGAGCTGTAAAGGCTACTTTGTTGTGTGTGGAGCAAGAGAAAGAGACTGATTCCCGTTTCTGTGACATACATGTAGAAACCTACAATTTGGAAGTAAAGCAGGTGTCATAGAGCACCAGCTTCCTGGGAGCAGAAAGTGTCCTTCCCTGTCTACCCACTCTCAGTTATGACAGGAGAGAAAAGCCTTCGCTGTTTGGCTGCTTTCTTGGAGGGGGAAGCTCTTATGAGCCATGCAGAAATTGGGAAAATACAGAATTAATTTTACCCAACTTTACAGAGTTAGATTTTTCCATTAGGGCAACTTGGCTTCTTACCAGTAAACTTCTGTATAAAGAAAGCACAAGTCAAAAGAATGTAAGCCAGACAACACTTTACATTTGTAAATAACTGCTTTTAGAATGCTTACATCTTCGAGTGTGTGTGTAAATAAAAAAAAATCAAAACAAAAGAACAGAACTCAATGAATCAGCCTTTGCAAATAAAGGTGAGCAGAATGTAATGTAGTAGATTAAGGGAGATGAAGGATTTCACAGAGGACCTTTTACATTAGGCACATTAAATGAATTTAACCTTTTTTTTAAATTTAAAAAAGAAAGTAGCATCTTACTTATACCTTTTTGGAGTGCATCAGAATTAGAGATACTTTGGAAACATGTAGATAGCCTCTAAGTTGTATTCAGAATGCTACGGGTATTGGCTGCTACCCCTCTTTTCTGCGCTCCTCCAAATATGATGATGTTTTTGTACTTAAATCACACTAACAGTTTATTCTGCTTTATTACTTGAAGCTTTGTTTTCCTTGTGAGAACAATGGTAGCTAGAAAGAGGATAACTTGCTGGTGCCCTGAAAGAAGAAAAACGAACATGTCTAGTACTGCTAAATACCTTGAAATGTATGTGATTTATTGTCTCCTTCATTCACATTGTAAAATGCAAGTTTCTAGATCAATAGCCTGGTCTAGAAGTCTTTAAATCACTGCTGGATCAATTAGATAAAGTTCTGCATTTTTAAAATTATTTCTGATACTATAAAAATTTGGAAATTGAGCATTTTGCAGTTTTTAGGGTGACTATTGCTCTGATTGCACTGAAGATGCAGAGATTAACTGTGTTAAAATAGACTGTTTTTTCATAGTGAAGTATTTCTCATTATTTAAGATTAAGCTACAATGTAAGCCTTGTATACCTGACTACGACAAGTTTGACATTCAGTATTCCTGTTTGTGTTTTGTTAGGATGTATTTAGTTTTCAGGTGTCTCCTAACATGAATCCCATAAAGCTGAACGAGCTGGCAATCCGAAAACGTTTGACTATCCATGGAAAAGAAGATGAGGAAGTTGATCCTGCAGACTATGTACTGCAAGTTAGTGGAAGGCTAGAATATGTTTTTGGTGATCACCCATTAATTCAGTTTCAGGTATGCAAAACTCTTTGGACCCTTAACGGTTCTCTAGTGCCTTGGCCAAAATTGGACCTTGCTTTGTGTGCTGTTGGATGGTCAGCTATGCTGAACAGTAATTTGCTTCCTCCTCGTGTCTGCTGCTCTCTCCAATTGTAAAAGACATGTGCACCATTTCCTTTTTATCTTTGTAATATATTATTGTTTCTTTGATTTGAAAAGTTGCTGTAGAAGTAGTCTGCTAGCTGGTAACAACTCTTTTCCGTGGGCTTTTAGTACATACGCAACTGTGTGATGAACAGGACTCTTCCTCAGCTGACTCTAGTCGAGTGTTGCACCATCAAGAAAATGTGCGAGCAGGAGATGATTGCCATAGAAGCTGCCATAAACCGAAAATCACCCAACCTTCCTCTTCCTCTGCCACCAAAAAAAACAAGAACAACAACTGTAAGTTGGCAATGGAGAATATCAACTACCCAAAAGGAACAGTGACTTGTGGAGCATAAATCACAGTGCCTGGCATTTGTGTTGGTGCTACTGTTTTCCAGCATAGGTCACCTGGGTCTATTGGAGCCTCCTGTTGCTTGCAAGAAGGTTTTTGTCAGAAATAGAAGACTTTGAGGCTTTTCGGAAATTTCTTTCCTTCCCTTGTGTCATCCATCCTCCTTCTCCCCCCACCGTCTCCTTTCCATTGTTATTGTTTCTACTTTTAATCACAACCCAGAAGAGCAAGTAATAATCTGTTACCAGCAACTGGAGAAGTTATTGCAGAGAACCTGGATTCTTCTTTTTCACTTTTTTCCACTTTTTTTCCTTTAGGGCTTCTTGTATGCTCTTGTAGTTATGATAACCAATTTATTTTTTCAAGATTTCAGGTCTATGTTTTTTAAAATGCATCTTCTTTTAGTTTGTATTTATGATTTTTGCTTAAAATGCTTAGCTTGTAAAATAGGTCTCACTATGTTACATGGATTGCGAATGAACTTGCATCTTTGTTTCTCTTCTCAGAGTGTATGGGATATTTCCAACCCTTTCAAGATTCTTCTGTTAAAGGGTAATAAACTAAATACAGAAGAAAATGCCAAAGTAAGTAACATAAGGTGTTTTTGTAGTCCAGAATATATTCTTATTCTGTGTGTGTCTCAGCGTGGACTGCATGCTTCTATACAATCTGTCTTTTATTTTCTGAACATACTGAACACAAAAAAAGCTGTAGGATCACTTCCTGTAAAAATGTGTGAGTGGGCTACTGACTGTTTTGCAGACCACAAGTTGTTAACACATGGGAATTTATTGCACAGCTACTTTAAGACCTTACAAGATACTTGCCTGTGAGGTAGAGCAACATTCATTTCCTTTTGTTTGGCAATCAATAAATTAAATAGCCACTTGCATAGATTAGGAAGAAATTCAATTAGCCATTGAAGTTTGCTGTTCTGATGCTTGATTCGGGATACTTAGTGCATTTTTTTCTTTCAAAACTATTGTTACAACCTCCTTGTATATTAGCAATGCTATGTTTTACTACATGGCTAAATGAGCCATAGTTACAATTTTACTACCTGAGACACAGTGACTGGGGAAAAGAATGTCTGCAAAAGCAGATGTTTCGCTTTTCTTTGTCTAAACCATTATTTAGCTAGTTGTAATAGCTTCTTACCTACATTCTGTAGACTCTTAAAATTTTTAAAAGAAAAGTGAAAGGAAAAGAGAAGGTGGATTCCAGAAGCAAGATAGCTATCAAGTTTGGGTTTTTTTCATATTTACAAAAGTGAGTTTTGGTTAATTTCAGTATGCTTTTAGAGAAGAAAAAAATGTTGATAGTAAACTTGAGGAGAAATGGGAAAATTTACAGTTCCTCAGTTTTGGTGCCTGTGGAAACTATCTAAATATTTCGTATTTTCATAGAATGGCCTGGGTTGAAAAGG